GCGGAGAACCTCAGATGAAGGAGGATTGTTGGGATCATACACGAAGAGCTTCTGGCCATTGGAATGGCAGCCGACCCAGATGTCCCCAGAGGAAGGATCTGTAGATAAATTATCCACCAGTGTATCCAACTTGAGAACCTTCAGCTGAGTTAAATTCATACTCGGGTGTTTTTCAAAAACATGAATTTCATGAGCCAATATGTCAGCAACATAGATGTACTTCTCATCAGGTGAAATACTGATCCCACTTGCTGAATCAAATTCTTCGGCCATGACTTTAACTTTATTTGGACTATAGTAGATAACATTTGCCCAGTGTAAGTTTAAGTATGTTTCTAAATATTTTAAGAAAGTATCAGAGAAATAGTGGTCATTGGTGGCATAGAAATGTGTAGGTCCAACAGCTACAAGATCATTCACGCTTGGAAGAAGTTCATGTTCGATGGTTTTGATATGCAAAAGAGAATTGTCTTCTTCTATATATTTAAAAATTTCCACTGTATTCTTGAATTCTGGGTGGTTAACGATAAAGAGATAAACTGTATCATTGTCATCTATAAAAGTGCTGATGCCATGTGGATTAAATGAAGCAAAATTAAAGCCTCGGCTGATTCTTAATTCTAATGCCCGCGGTTTTTCTTCTTTTAGATTCATCATTAGAATCCCTCCAGGTTTATCTGGTGTGAGGCTGTGGAATCCTGGAAACTTCAGACCCGATTCCTTTAATCAGATGGCAGTTTGGAAGATCAATGGATTCTTTCTAGCTCCCGAGAGGCTTTAAGTCGATTTCTGAGCGCCAGGAACCTCTCGCCCAGGAGCGCCAGCGATATCCCCAAGAGGCTCATGGCCACCAGCCGCCCCATCGCGCGGGAGCCGGGCGCGTGGCCTCGTCTGCTCAGCATTTCTTAAGCTAAAGGAACTGAAGAACATATTCAAATTGGGCAGAATATGAAATGATCCAGGAAATAGTAAAAGAAGATGGAAACAGTATATACTGTCATCATACCAAAAGGAATTGGTGGACACAGAATTTCCTGAAACAATGTATGAGAAAGAGCCTGTGGTGATGAAGGAAGAAGTTCAAGCTGTTCTGAAAGAATTGGCAAAAAACAAGGCTCCAGAAATTGATGGCATAGTGACTGACATATTTCAACAAACAGACGCTGAGCTGGATTTGCTCACTAGGCTGTGCCAAGAAATTTGGAGGACAACCAGCTGGCCAAATGACTGAAAGAGATCTGTATTTGTTCCCATTTCAAAGAAAGGTGATCTGACAGAGTGTGGAAATTATCAAACCATATCATTGATACCACCTGCAAGCAAGATTCTGCTAAATATTTTCCAAAACTGAATGGAACAACCGAGAACTGCCTGAAGTGCAGGCTGGGTTTAGAAGAGGCTGGGGCACTAGGGATATTATAGCTAAGGTCAGATGGATCTTGGCTGAAAGCAGAGAGTACCAGAGGAATGTCTATCGAATGTCTGTGTTTCATTGACTATGCAAAGGCATTTGACTGTGTGGATCACAACAAACTGT